AAAAGATGTTCTCCATAGGGATTTGAAAATAAGAGCAGAGTGAAAACCAGAGAAATACCAGGAGAGAAGCAGTCAAAGAGAAGACGCACAGACCACCCCAGCAGACCATTCATCCGGGTTAGGATATAAAAGGACGTAGGAACAAACAGTCTACATGGTTACCCGAAACAAGGCAATCAGTGGAAAGGAAAACCTGGGCTGACAAAGGGTACTAAATATTCCTCTTCCTATAGATTCCAAGTCTTTAAAAAAGCATGTTTCACTCTGACAGTGGCACAGTGCCTTGATTAAATTTTCTAAATGACGACATAATAGATAGTGATTTTGAAAAATTATATATATCCCAACCTTATCTATAAGATCTAATATTTCTAAATAAGCTTATGATAACATATGATACAATATATACAAAACGAGGGGTGATCAAAAAGTTCGCGAACTAATTGAATTACGTCCATAAAACAAATAAAATTAAGTTTCATTGTTTCTTTTTTTTTAAAGTAGTCATCTCCGATTTTAATGCACATCTGCCACCGTTCTGCTCATGCGCGAATCACGTGATCAAGTCGGTCACGTGACATGCTCCGCAGCAGTCTGTTCACGGAAGCCAGAAGATTTTTCTGAGTGTTATATTTCTTACCATGTAAGTTATCTTTTATAACAAGAACAGTCCATTTGTCAGAAATGACCAAATCTCGGCAATAGAATGGATGGATAAGGATATCTTTTCCCAAAATGATAATTGTGACCATCACAACCCCAGTCCTATGTCTTGGGAGCGTCGTTTTTTCCAATGTTGATAAAGTATGGGCGTATTCTTACTATCATATCTGATATGTTTAAAGTCTAAAGTAAACGATATTTTAGGGATTCAATAATCATATTATTTGTAAGATACTCAAGTATTTTTCAAACTGTAACTTGGCGATCTTTCATAACAATTTGCTCAACTAAGAACACATCTCTTCCCCAGCTTGCTTTCACTGCGCAACAGAACAAACATCGTTATTAATCATCTCCCTTCCTTCATTAAAACAATCAATTCAATTAATGATTGAACTTCTGGCAAGTCTTTTGTCTTCTTAAACCTTATACAAATTATTATATGCTATTGCAGAGGAATTTCCAAGATATACGTTAAACTTTACAGCCGTTCGTTGCTCGAATACGACTGAGTCAATCATTTTTTGTCACAAGTAATCTACATATTAACGTCATTTTCACAGTGTGACGTCACAAACATGTAGCAAAACATTACATAACATCTGCTATTTATAGAACATGTGTATGACCATATGTGTGCCAAATTTCATTTTGATCGGAATTGTGTTTTTGTAAATATAGAGATAGTTCGCGAACTTTTAGATCACCCCTCGTAAGTAATAAAATCAGTTTCTATATTTTATCAAGAAACATTACGTAGATGTAAACTTTTAACCACATGTTTCCTCTTTCATATGGTATTTTACCAGAAGGACTTCTGTGGGGAAATTTTAGTCGGTTCTTAGACCTTAAGAAAATCTGTAAGCTTTCATGAGCGCCCTAAAAATCATGTCCAGAAGTTCTTATGGACACTCAAAAGGTTGTGTTTGGTGGCACAGAGAACTGATTTCGGTAGTATTTTTTACTTCGACAATGGCGAAAATTATATTAGTGTAAATAGTATTTCTTAACATTAGAAGACTATCATATTCTCGAGTGTGTGGAAAATATAAATTGCCCTAGAGAGTTCAATACAGTGTTGGTTGCAAAGCAGAAGTCTCCCAGGAAGACACATTTTAGACTCAGACAGAGGTGTGTTGACAAGAACGGCTATGGCAACGGCTTTAAGTATAATTTATCTACAAAAAAGCACACCAGAACCTTAAAAAAGGAAAGAAAGTTGTTTCTTCTTTTTTTTTTAAACTATGACTATTGTATATATCTGATGGAATACCTTTTCCCCAATCCAAATATCTTCCTTTTGTTCTCGTTTAGTAAAATGTAAGAGTAATTAGATTGAAGCATGAGATTCAAGGGGCAGATTTTCACAGATACGAGGGGTGATCAAAAAGTACGCGAACTATCTCTATATTTAGAAAACCACAGTTCAGATTAGAATACAATTTGGCACAAATATAGACATACATATATTCTATAAATAGCAGATGTTATGTAATGTTTTGCTACATGTTTATGACGTCACAATGTGAAAATTACGTCAATATGTAGGTGCTTTGTTACAAAAAATAGTTGACGCAGTTGTAGTTGAGCAACGAACGGCTGTAAAGTTTAACGTATATCTTGGAAATCCTTTTGCAGTAGCATATGATAATTTTTGCAAGGTTTATAAAGACAAAAGACTTGCCAGAAAGTCAGTCATTAATTGAATTGATTATTTTAGTGAGGGAAGGGGTGGTGGTGGTTAAAATGATGTTTGTTATGTTGCCTAGTGAAAGCAAGCTGGGGAAGAGATTTGTCTTTAGTTGAGCAATTTGTTATGAAAGATCGCCAAATAACAGTTAGAAAAATATTTGAATATCTTAACAATAATATAATTAATAAATCCCTAAAATATTGTTTATTTTAAACTTTAAACATGTCAGATTTGATAAAAAGAAGGCGTCTATACTATATCCATATCGGATAAACGACGTTTCTAAGACAGAGAACTCGGGTTGTGGTGGTCACCATGCTCATTCTGGGAAAGGACATCTTTATCCTATTTTCGAGATTCGGCCATTTCTGACAAATGAACATTTTTTGTTATAAAAAAAATAACTTGCAGGGTAAGAAATACTGCAGTATAGGACTCGAAAAACCCTAAAAATCTTTTAGCTTCTGTGAACAGAACGCCACGGAGCATGTAACGTGACCGCCTGGATCACGTGATTCGCGCATGGGCAGAACGGTGGAAGATGTGCATTAAATTCAAAGAGAACTACTTTAAAAAATAATGAACACCGAAACCTAATTTTATTTCTTTTATGGAAGTAATTCAAATAGTTCGCGAACTTTTTGATCACCCCTCGTATATGGAAACATGGTTTTCTTTGCGGAGTTGAAGTCATGAAGGTCAGCATAAATGACGGCTTGATCAAATTATTGATAAACAAAGAAAGTCATTAGCAGCAAAGACGGCCAAATATTATTAGTAATTAGATTCCATTTATTTGAATCGGGAAAAAATGCAGTGGTACTATTCAAATATGCAATAAAAAAGTCATTGGTTTAATATAGAGAAATATGCCCGCCTTCGGTCTTTGTGCGAACGTTGACCTCGCAAGCTCGGTCCGCTTTAAAGCGCAAAGATCAATATCAATAAAATATATTTTGAAATCATTTGATTTCGTGATGGCTCAAAATTTGTGGGATTCATGGGTACCCTGCATCCACAAATTCACATTCTCAACGAATTAATAATTGGGTTTTTTTTTTGAGTCATCTATCCTTCTGTAGATATTAGTGAAACGAAATTACGTGCCTCGAACCTGTAAAATTTAGGCGATCCGCGAAAATTGTAAAATTGTAGCTGGTACATATATGAGAGAGATAGAGATTATATGTAATTTGTTCATCACTATATGTGATTTGTTCAACATGGAGTGAAAAACACTTTTCCTCTGCTGCTTACTTATAGGTTTACATTATTTTCTTTAGAGAAGTGGACAGGCTGTTTTCAGAATCAAAACATGAAGGCTTGCGAAGAGAAGTGGATGTAGGCTTGTTAACTTCTCTAAAGAGAATGAGGTTTACACTATCTATAACATATCTATCTATCTATCTATCTCTCTCTCTCTCTCTCTCTCTCTCTCTCTCTCTATATATATATATATATATATATATATATATATATATATATATATATATATATATATATATATATATATATTAGGGATGTCAACGAGTACCCGGTTATCCGGGTACTCGATCGAACGTCCGAGTATCGAATACTAAAAATGGTACTCGGTTACTCGGATGTGCATTTTTTCTTATTTCAAAGTACATACTTTTTTTCAAAAACTTATCAAAAATAACATAAGTATGCATACGTAATTAGCGTGTCGTTAACTACACCCGTAAAATACCCGTTATCGCCTGTGGCGGTGTATATACAGTAATTAGTGACCAATCACTCGGTACACAGCTTTTCTCACCTATAGTGGTCCTTAATTTTTGGATGGCTTCAATGATTGTTTTCAATGAACATCGTATAAGTATGGTATATTATCTTTCAATCATTTTAAATTATTTAGTTAATATACGACAGCAAAATTGGACATACATAGGAATGTCGCTACTCACTTCAAACGTGAAGAAATATTTAGAAATAACTAAAGATTAAAAAAAATGTTGAAAGTCAGTTTGCGTAGTAAGTTTAGTGTATACGGGAGAAACAACCAACAAATAAAATAATATTAAACTAGCGATACCAACAACGTCCGTTCCTTCTCTTTCGCTAGTCTAATCATCACAAACCTGCTTGACATATTGTCCTCTTGCGTTGATCAAATAGATCCTAATGAAGAACTGTAATTCTGTAAACCACTTGTAATTTTTTATGTATTAATTGTATCTCTTGTGTTTATTTGATAAATTGTCATTCCAAGAAATCATTTCCGTTTATATACATTTATAAACATGATAAAAATAGCTTTGGGTTTTAACAGAGCTTAACGGGGTTCAAGAAAATTAACACACTTGTATAAACATTTCTACCGAGTACCCGGGTACTCGATCGGAAAAATATCCGAGTAACCGATTATCAAAAATTGACCGATTTGACATCCCTAATATATATATATATATATATATATATATATATATATATATATATATATATATATATATATATATATATATATATATATATATATTCAAAGATTACATGTAAGTACTTTACAATATAAAATTGGAAAAATTGCTGTTGAGAAGAAATAACCTTCAAATTTGAATAAAATAAATTTTTTATTCAGAATTACAAATGAAAGGTTTTTATTTAATAGACACTAATAATGACTTTATCCAAGGACAGGGTCAAGAGCAATATGACTATGATGACCGGAATGGCCGTGGGTGGTTTCAGATCCTACACACTCTCTGCATGTGAAAAAGTTGTCTGGATCCCACTTATGTTTAATGTCCAAAAGACGCTTGTAATTACTGCCCCAGAATTCTTGTTGCCAATGAACGACGTCCATCCCTGCTTCATTTGGATATTGACCGTCACCAAATGCGCTCAACTGTTCGCCGACTACGGCACCTCTTTGTGGAAGACCGTCATAATCTAACATCCCTGTATCCCAACCGATCGAGGCAGACAGCGACATCAATGCTGTTCTAAATCCAGGATGAACTGAGGTGTCGTGTGCCCCAACTTTCATCATTTCACCTAAAACAAATCCGAATGAAAAACTGTAATATTAGTAAAAGAAGCATTAAGTCTAAATTAAAATGAATGAAATAAAAGGATTCCAAATTTCACCGTAAACTTTTTCATGCCTTGCGTTTATGATCATTTATTTACCTAATGTTTTGAAAGAAAAGATTAAATGTATTTTACACACACACACACACACACATATATATATATATATATATATATATATATATATATATATATATATATATATATATATATATATATATATATATATATATATATTGCTTCTAGGATCAAAGACTCATTAACGGCTAATTAAGATAAAACTGTATTGAGAATCTACACGTTATTTACCTCCGAGGAGAGTTCCGGTGAAGGAGAATGCACTTACATTTGTATGCTCGGTTTCAAGTTCATTTACAAGAAACCTTACCAAACTGTCGTCAAAACTTTCACTTTGTAAAAGAGTGTTCATTATGTAACCTGCGTAATACAAAGGGTCTTTGGCTGTGACTTCATAATCAAGGAAAGTTGTACGGTTAACATAAAAGCAAAAATTTTGCCATTCTTTGTGAAAATTAGCCAACTGGTCCATATATGCCCGTGTGGTCGAAGCATAAGATCCATAGTGGTTGAAAGATACTATAACGTTTCCCCATTTTCCACTGTCCGCTGGGACTCCACTGGCTAGCACGTACCCTCCCCATTCTTTTGGCATATTTTTGATCACGGAAAATACTTTTTGTAAAACGGTAAATCCGATGTGCTGTCCATTTGCGCGAATTAAGGGATATCCACACACAAATTGCACCACCTGAGGGGCGGTATAGTGCAATTTGTAGGTGAATTTGGTCGCAATACCAAATGTTCCTCCTCCACCCCCTTTTGACGCCCAGAAAATTTCCGTATTGTCGGACGTAGAGACGCTACCATTCAGGTGTGTGGTCTGGGTCATATGGTCATTGGCCAATATGATTTCGCCGTTTGCTGTGACAAGTTCTAATTCTAGCAAGTTGTCTACCGCCATACCGAACATCCGGGACATTGGACTATGGCCGCCACCCAGAGTGTAACCAGCCATACTGACTGTATGAGCGCTTCCGCCAATAATCACCCTATTGTACTTATTAACCTAAAATAGGCAAAATTTTATAATTATTGATAAATGAAATGGAGGTTAATGTTGTCAATATTTGTATTGAAATGCTTTCTTTGTACGGATGAACGGTTGCAACTGTGTATAGAAAATACATAATCTGAGCACTAAAGAAAACTGGTTATTATGCATTTTTCTGTCTGTAAAGATTGCAACCATTCATACCCGTTTAAACAAAGAAAGAATGACATTTTTAGAGTAAATATTAATATTTGTAAATATAATATTCATATAAAGTGGGTGAAAGAACGAAAAATACAGTATTATCGATCGGTATACGTTATATATTGTTGGAAGAGTCATGAAAAGATTACTTACGATACTTCCAAAGAAAGCTTTCATAAAGATTGCTTAAAAAGGGTTTGAAGTTGTTTTTCTTACTGATAAATAAAAAATATTCAATTTTCACAGGAAAAATGGAAACATGTTTCATTGGATGTAATTATTAGCGAATTACAGCTGCTTTTGTTGTAGTTTGCTTGCTTTTTATTGGGTACCCAAATAATGACAAATATTTACATGATTTAGGCCATAGGGTAAAGAAACGTAACTGGCATTAGTAAAATTGTAATCATGCGTTAAGTCTTTAGTTGTTTAGTTAAGAGGATATTTTTAACTCAAGCAAGAGAACCATAAAGAGACCATTTGTATATGACACATATAATTATAGATGTAATTACATTTCTTAAGATTTACCTCTTCGTAAACTTTCAACCACGTGTTTCCGCTTTCACACTTGATCTCACCGGCGGGATTTCTCGTAGAAGACATACTGACTTTGGTTGCATTCATACTCCCAAGATAAATCATTAAACTTCCATGTGCAGTGGATCGGCCAAGAAAATCGTGTCCGGAAGTTTTGACGGAAACCAGTAAGTTGTATTTGCGAGCGAAGAGAACGCACTTTTGAACATCAGCGGCATTTTTCACTTCGGCTATGGCGAACGGGAATTTCGTGTATATAGTCTCTCTTTGCACTACAAGTTTGTCGTATTCTGGTTGATGTGGAAAATACAGATTCCCTTCTAGATTTTCCAAGAATTTTATCAACTCAATATTGGTGGGAAAGCAACTCGAGTCTCCAGGCAGACATCGATTAGACACAGAAAAACATGCGCTGACAAGCACAGCCAATGTTAAGACCCTCAGGGCAGACCTTCAATATATGAAAAAAAATTAAAATCAGAAAATATTTGGCAAGCTAGCAACAAAATTTTTCTCATGATTCATATTTAAAAAGAATATTATCATCTTGCACTAGGCTTTAAGAAATGGACGCACGGGTTGAGGAAGAAGTATATATTTTGACAATTTGATGGTCATTGTTGAAACCAAGTCTTCATATATCTCTTTACATCTCTCTTTTACCCCCCCCCCCCGCCCCCCCCCCCCCCCTGGTGTAGACAATGTAAACCATTGCAGTGTTCTTATTCTCTGTCGTTTTAAATATTAAATATAAGGATTTACGAGTCCTTTTAGAGTGAATAAAATTTTATGTTACTTGTATACTTTGCTATAAGTCTTTTTTACCTATAACATTTGTTCAAATTTACAAAATTATACAGGTCTCCAACCAATAAAATCTCTCTCTCTCTCTCCATAATCATTGGAAAGGATAGTACGGCAAAAATAAAAAAGATAAAAAATTGTAGATCGGAGTACAGGAAATATGATTATGATGAGAAAAGTAAAGATCAATCATGATAGTAGTAGATCGATTAAGTGATAGAAAATAAGTTATACAGGTGCAGTTCTATACGCTTACCCTGGACACATCCTGTCGGTGTTTCTGTGTTGCAGTTTTCTTGATTTTACTTGGATGATTCTAGATTGGTGGTGTCATACATATATACTTGTACTATATAAACAGGGTGGTTGGCGACATCGGTATTTATCGCATTCATAACAACTATCTATCTTTTACTTCCAGATAACCTCTTTTGAGAATGTGTCTTCAGTATACTACATAATATATATTTTGCAAGAACTAAAGAAGGGTTAATATAGGGACCGATATTTTGTCTAAAGTACATTAAGTTGAAAAACAAATCAGTCGAGGCAGGTTTTATCGAGGGAAAAGGGGGGGGGGTAAGAATGTTATTAAACAGCGATCTAAATAATGTGCAAAGGTACAAGATTGTTCTTCCGCTATCGATATAGAATTAACTTTGTTAACGTTTTTGAGCCACAAAGGAAACAGTTTTTAATAGATCAAAAATTGATAATGTTGATTTTGTAAAAATTCTTAATTAACATAGTAACCTGTTTTTGAAATATATCCAGGGTTGGCCCTGCAAGTTAATGCTACTTTTTGAATGGTCGCCGATTTTATTCCTAACCCAAGATAAGGAAACTGTGTCTAGCTATAGAAAGCTAATGTATAAGTCAGAACTCATGAATATATCAGTAAAGAAAAAGATGTTATCCACAGAGATTTAAAAATAAGAGCAGAAAGTTAACTAATGAGACGTCAAGAGAGAGGACGAAGAGACCAATCCCAGCAGCTCTTTCATTCGGGTTCGGAAATATAATTGTAAGGGCAAATAGTCTAATATGGATAACTGAAACAAGACAGTCAGAGTATAACAGAAAACCTGGGCTTACTAGAACCCAAAGAGAGGAGAACAAGTATGCGGTGGATATAACAGAGGGTACTTCAAGTATTCTTCTTTTTATAAAACAGATAACAAAAATCTGAAGTCTGAAAAATCTGTTTGCTTTGGTGACACAGCTCAATTTCAGAGAAATTTGTCAAGATAACATACCCCTAGGAGGAAAATAAGAACATTTCAGGAAAACTAGAAAATGATTTAAAAAATCAAAACTTGTTGGAGAGTATGTTAGGATACAAAGTACAATTCAATTCAAAGCAACTTCGTCAAAACAAGAAATGCAAATTCTACAATATAGAGGCGATGCTGGTTAAGCAAGCTGTGGAGATTGTTCATTGTTATTAGTACTCTTGGCCACTTTTTATAGTATCTCTCTCCTGGATTGGAAGACTTACCTTCAAAGAAAATTAAAAGAGACGCTTTTATTTAACAGAATTCTTCACACCATAAGAGGCGATATTGACTTTTGGTAACTCCTTTCTGAAGTTTAACGTATATAATAATACTCCATTAATAAATACATAAATACATGTATAAACAATGAGACATAGAATTACACATTAATATGATATGTTTGTAGTATAGTAGATATATATTTTTTAACAATTAAGCTGGGGAGTGCCTATATGCGTAACCAATTATTTTCCAAAGGGTGGCCCAATAGGAATATGAAACACTCCATCAACAAAATTTGGACCGATTTCCTCAGAACCAACGCATTCTTTACAAGTGAAAAAATTATCTGGGTCCCATTTTTTCTTGATTTTCAAAAGACGCCTATAATTATTGCCCCAAAATTCTTTCTGCCAGGAAATGACGTCATTTCCCGCGTTATTAACATATTGTCCTAGTCCGAATTTGTTAAGTTCTTTGCCTATTTCTTCTCCTCTTACAAGGAAGGCGCTGTAGTTCAGATCTGTTGTAGGCAAATAAGTCGTGGCTGTTAAAGACATCAGTGATGATCGAAGGGCTGGATTCACTGCATTTTCATGATGTTCTATTGTCTTTACTCTACCTAATGCATAAAAAGGATGTGTAAATATTGGTTTACGTTTTCTGACCCTTTTTGTCCTCTTTCTTAGCAAATAAAAATAAAGTTTTTTCTACCACTAAGAATATGCATTGTTACTATTTTTATGACATTTTTGTTATTTTTTTTTTTTTGGTTACATTCGATTCCCTAGTAGACTGCAATTTTTTATTGATAAATTTACCGGAAAATATACATGTACATGTAATGACACTTCCAGACCTTTGGGTTTAAAGCAATAACCTGCGTTGGTTAATCTATGATCAATTTTATACTCACCACCGAGAAAAGTGCCCGTCATTCCCATATGACTACTGTTGGAATACCCTGTTTTCACTTTTTGTAGAATAAAAGAAATCAGATCATCCGTGAAGTTATGGTTATGAAGAAGAGTGTTCGAAGAGTAATACGGAAAATATGAAGTCTCCTTGGATGTTTTGTCATAGTCGTAATAGGAAGAAAAGTTCTTGTAGAAACAAAAGGATTGCCAATCCTGCTGAAAATTTTTCAACTGATCTAAATAGGCACGGGTTGCTGAATGGAATGGTCCGTGGTGATTCATGGCTAGCATCACATTTCCAAAGTTTCCAGATTTATCCGGAACACCACTGATTAAAAGATACCCTCCCCATTCCTTTGGAAGAGATGTCAACATTGAAAATATTTTCTTTAGCACCGTAAAACCATATTTTTGACCATTTGCTTTTTGAATGGGATAACTACAGAGAAACTGTACAATTTGGGGAGCTGGGTAGTGCAGCTTGAAAGTAAATTTTGTTACGATACCAAAGGTTCCTCCTCCTCCTCCACGAGACGCCCAGAAAATGTCAGTGTCGTTGCTCGTGGCAAAAGTCCCGTTCACAAAGCTCGTCTGTGTCATAAACTTGTTGGCCACTACTACATGTCCTTCTGCAGTTACCATTTCTATTTCGAGTAAGTTGTCGACTGCTAGACCGAACATCCGGGACATCGGACTGTGACCGCCCCCTAGTGTATATCCAGCTACACTAACTGTATGACCGCTCCCTCCCACGATTGTACGGTTGTGTCTGTCCACCTATAAAAAAAACTGAATTGCAGTTAACAAATGTAATTCTCCTCTATTTGCGTAAAGTGATGTTATTTACGTGTACACAAACAAAATGACAAATGCATTTTCTTCATTTCTTTTTCCTTTGCGCTATACCTCTTCGTATACTTTTAACCAAGTGTTTCCACTCTCACATGTAATTTCACCAGCAGGATTTCTGATGGAAAATAGATGAATTTTAGTCGCATTCATACTCCCAAGGAAAATTTGTAAACTTCCATGAGCAGTTGAGCGTCCAATAAAATCATGTCCAGAAGTTTTGATGGACACCAACAGATTGTGTTTGCGTGCAAAGAGAACTGATTTCTGAACATCGGCGGTATTTTTTACTTCAACAATGGCGAAAGGAAATTTAGTGTAAATACTATTTCTTTGCATTACAAGGTGATCATATTCTCGAGTGTGTGGAAAATATAAATTGCCATCCAGAGTTTCCATGAACTTGATCCATACAATGTTGGCTGGAAAGCAGAGGTCTCCAGGCAGACATCGATTAGACACAGACAGACATCCGCTGGCCAGAACAGCTATCACGAAGACCTTTGCTATGATTAATCTACAAGATTAAAAAAAAAGTTTGAAGGTAAACGCAAACGATGGATGATGCAGACTATGGCTCTCGTACGTAGCTCACTTACTGTATTTGTTTTAAATGATTTAATTGCAAAAATAACTATAATATTCTGGACAAAAACATGGTCCATGTATTTTTCTCTTTCAGGATACATATATTTTATATAGTAAGTTACCGCTTTCCTTTAATTTATGACAATTTTATGAAATTAACATTCAGAAGATTTGAAATTCCTTTTAAAGTAAATTTCATCCAAATTCATGAATTTTAATTTTGTTTTGCAGACCAGAAGAGTAAATGAAATTTAAGCAAAAAGTCATGAGATTTATGGGACAGATTTTCATAGACATACCTTAGAAACATGGTTTTCTTTGGGGATGTTAACTCGTAGTCATATGAAGGCCTGTATAAATGACGGCTTCAACAAACTACTGTATGTACAAACAAGGTCATTAGCAACAAAGACACTCGAATAAAAACAGTAAATATACAGATTATCCGCTTAACGCATGTACATGTATTTGATGTTAATTAATCAACCCAAATTCTACAAGAAAGCAATTAAAATCTGATGTTTATCGGACATACTTTATAGTCCTATGTTCATTATTTTAGATACTCCGCTGCGATCACTTTTGCACTAATTCGGTATAGGCAGAGGCAGTGAACAGTTGGATTATGGTCGATGTCTTCCTTCGTATGCCAGTGAATAATGTTAATATTATTACCGGAAACTGCATGACTTGGTCTTTAAATGGTACATCAGTTCAAAATATCTCAGAATGAAAGAAAGATAGAAAGATGGCAAGCTGTTCACTTGCTTCTTAATTGTGATTACACATGCATAATCATTTACTGTCTAGAGGGATATTCCAATCGAAGATAGTGTAATAGCTGTACTTCAATCTGTGAAATTCAAAATTTCATTTGATATTCCAACTGAAGGTTGATTTTACATTTCTTTCAATTTTCTTGTACAAATATTCAGATCTACATGTAGATGTCAAATAAGTTAAAAACAATTTATCGTTTCATACTGCCTGTATTTAACTTCTACATGAGAAGAAGAAAACTCTTGCAACATTTCGATGTATCGGCGACGTTCTATTAATTAACAAAGATACTTATTTTCATTCGTACCTCGACTAGACAGTGCCATTGAACTCAAAATAAGGTCATCACAGAGTCTACCACATCTATTTGGATGTTTTACTGACTATATAGACGTTAATGGCCCACTAACAACTAAACTATTTGACAAACGGGACGAATTCAGCTTTTCCACCGTCAGCTTCCCTTATTATGTATTAACATTCCACAATCACCTGTATGGGGTGTTTATGTCATCAGCTAATTCGGTACTTAAGATCATGCTCTGAGTACTAGTATCAACTTTTAAACCGAGGTAGGCTACTGACAAAAAAAAAATTAAAAAAAAAACAACTAAAAAACCTAAAATCCATTTCCCAAACGTGAAAAACACCTATTTCGTGGTGGTGATGGTGGGGTCTACGTTTTTTAGGGGAGGGGGATCCAAAGTCATTTTTTATTTGCTTCAGTATATACATTAATAACTCTGCAAATTCAGGGGGGGGGGGTCCGGACCCACCGACCCCCCTCTAGATCGGTGCATGAATAAATATACCAAACTGAAAAAAGGACTGCCAAAATGACAAAGGATAGGAATAATTTAACTACATGTATATCAGATATACTATTTGTCAATTCTACACTGCAATGGTTGAGAGAGCTATGTGGTCATGGCACTATAAATAAGCAAATTTTCTATAGTCTCAATTTCAGGCCCAGGAGATCTATTAACAAGCTTAAGGGTTGTGGGAAATGTTTTGTTGTGAAAATAGTTAAAGAATATATTAAAAACAGACGGTTAGTAATATTTTTGGATGTCACCTTATAAATCGAGGAAAGTGTGCACTTTTTTGTGCTCATATACAATTTTTTTAATGGATAGATTTCTATAGCTAGCTCTCTGGTCGTCCAACTCAATTTTTGGGAGGACCAGCGAGCTACAAATGTAATAGCTGGAACACATGCTTTTTTCACTAAATAAAAGAATCCATTTCATATATTTTGTTGGATCTGTGGGGTAATTTGTTGACCACACAGCTTCCTTAATATACTAGTACCCGTATCAGAAATCAAACGAGTATAAGTCGTATGTACAAACGTATTGCCCCCCTCCCCCTTTCCTCTTCCTGCACAGGCATAAACACAAGTTCATGAAATAACAATGATGTATGCACTAACTGTTCACCTATGACAAACTTTAATCAAACAGTTTTGTGGACTATATATTTGAGATGTACAGTCCTGAGTGTAATGGGGAAAAAAGTTTTATTACATTTTCAACAGTGAAATACTGTGATTTATTCATTGAATAAAAGTGATATTCTCTCACAGTGTGAAAGGATACCAAAAATGCTATTCTCTCACAGTGTGAAAGGATATCAAAGTAATTAAAAAATTAATTTCTGGCCTGTCATAAGATAGAGATAGTAACTAAGCATCTTGATAGAGCTAAAACTGCAAATTTCTTCCTAAATATGTTGCTAAAATCCATGCTATGTAATGTTTTCAATCTGACACACAACTTCTAAGCTATGACGTCTCAACCGCTCAACTATGACGTCAGGCCTAAGACACTGTGTTAAGAAATAACAGAGGCAAAGGGAAAATCAAAGAAAATGTAATAAACAGAAAATTCAATGTTTTGTAGATGAATATGGAATTTATTTCACGAGTGAGACAGGATTTTTTTATATTTTCACTCGTGCTTCGCACTCGTGAAAATATCAAAAAATCCTGCCCCACTCGTGAAATAAATTCCATATTCATCTACAAAACATTGAATATCCTCTATATATTTTCCGAGCAATACATATATACCAGCCACATTATGTAACAAATTTTGTTTTTAACTTTAGAATTAAATTAAGTTAATTAATTTTTATCTTTGAAATTAAATTTATTTAATCTAATTAAATAGATAAATTTAGAATGGAATTAAAACTTTTTGCTGAAAATTCATCAGAATGGAGCAATCTTCGTAAATTATATAAAGGCACAAGTAGTGATTCTGTCGGAAATGTAGTCTTTCTGTTCTATATTTTATTCTATATTTATCTCAAGAAATTATAAACATATAATATATGAATACATTTATACATTTTTTTTTCTTATGTGTATACACGTAGTTTATCATCTTCTTAGCTTCAGATATGTTGTTTTTGTCCTACCCTACTGCATGTTAAACTGGAAACTTATCTGAAGAGATCAAAACCGCCGTCTTTCAATCACATTATTTGGTAACCAGTGAATTTCATGAATTTTTAAACAAAGTTAGAAACGTCGATTTATCTCTACTACTTTTATTTTCTGCTTCATTCCATTTGTCCTTTAAAACTAAAACTAACTTGCAACAGTAGCTATTTAACCTGTCCATCCCAATATATTCTTTGTTGCCAAATATTTTGCTAAAGGAGAAAAAGAAGTCATGCTTTGACCCCGACGTGATTCGAACACGCAACCTTCTGATCTGGAGTCAGACGCGCTACCGTTGCGCCACGGAGTCGTACATACCAAATCGATGGTTAAAGAAAAACAAATCAAAGCTTTTTTTAATATTAAACGGAAGCATTGAAATATGTATGAAAAATTCAATCTGTAGAATAATAGGATGGGATGGTATTTGTGCTCGCAATACCTATGAGATGTATTTCGTGAATACTCAGTCATTTTCAAACGAAGATTTATCGTGCAAGGTTAAGAAATTTGCTCAAGCGCATGCGCAGGTAAACTTTGAAAATGGCGGAGGAATTGAATGAATGAAGTGCAAATGTTTAAATGTTTTAATTGCTTTACTGTAGGTATATCACATTAAAGCATTTTTGTAATATCATTTTTAGCGACATAATTTTTAAAATAATTTATTGAAAAAATATGGAAAAAAGCTTTCTTCTTCCTCGGCACACAGTTGTACGAGTCAAGCCTAAACATGATTATTTCAACATGTTTATGTTTTGATTTTATCGTAAATATCATTATGGGTCAGCAATTGAAATATCTATCTTGAACATTTACAATGATAAAATCTGTTCTTTCGTAGAATTTTTGTGATGTATACAGATTAATGCATTTGAAAAGTATTTGCAAAATTGAAGTCACTAGGCCTGTACAGAAAATATTACCCCCCCCCCCCCTTTCAGCAGTTGGAACCATTCGTTCAGTTAGGATATAGGCCTAATAGCCCGATCCCAAATGGGATATAAATTTATAGTGCAAAAAAAGAACATTTATCCCACAGAAGATTTAAAACTTCTTGGTGGTCAATCTCACAATCTGTAGGGTCATCGAAAAACTCACTTGATCAATTTTATGAGGATTTACAACTTTACAACAGTATAAGTTAAATTTTTTTTTCATTTTTTGCACTGTAATTATTTACTCCATTTGGTTTATTATAATCCATTCAGGCCATTATACCCCATTTAGGCAAGTGGTTCCAACCTGTATAGTGTGGTGAGTGTTGATTAGGGATGGGTATTGGCAGAAATTTCATTTCGTGATATATCACGATTTTTTCCCAAAAATATCACGATAAATCGTGATATTTTTGCATACAATGTTTACTACAATTTCATATGAATTTCCATAATATTTCCTAAAAATATGCTATAAAAACATAACTTTACTGTTAAAATATTTATTTATTTAATGTAAAGAATGTTTGGATGCAGTTGTTTAACTGTTTTCAACATTTTTTACACTTCCTGTAATTGTCATTCAAGACTGAACAAACAAATGAATATTTATAGTTATGTACCAAATACTTAGTCTTTGTATCACAATACGTATCACGCAATAAAAAATTGTGATATACCGGTATACCGATAAAATCGCGCATCCCTAGTGTTGATTGACTCCTTTCTGGATATTCTGACATCACAAAAAATTGTTCACATTAATGTATGCACCCAAGGGTCTTTCTTCAAAAATTTTGTATGCCCTACAGGGCTCGACATTAACTTTTTTACCTACTTGTCCATTTGGACAAGTGACCAAGACATTTACTTGTCCGAACTTCAACTTCATTTGTCCGAAAATTTTTCAATAAAGATCTAATACTGTCAACTTGAAAAGTAATGAAAACTAAATAAAGTCCATTACATGTGCTTGATTTATTCGTGATGTTATTGATAAATACAACAAACACATAAAACGAAATTTTATCTGACAACAACAAGTAAACCTGTCAACATCAAACGGAATCCAAACTTTGTTAAGTTCTTAAGTTCCATGCCTTTTCAGTAGTATGCAATCAGTGAACTTTGATCCTGATCAAATGGGAATCGAAGTCCGGTTTTTATGTACAGCTTCCGTCTTGAAACTATGAAACTACCGATTAACTTTCAACAGTTGTTCTTTTTATTATTTAGAGACTCCTTTACATTAAAATGCACTTGTCCAATCGGACAAGTGCCTAGCAATATTCACTTGTCCATAATTTTTTTTCACTGGTACCGGACAAGCGTTAATGTCCAGCCCTGCCCTATGTGTGTTCTGCCTATATAAGAATTTCATTCAGGGAAGTTTAAGTGCTCTGACTGTGTACCGCATTCTTAAAAACATTGCAAGAAATGACATGTTGACCTGGATAGATGTACATGTAATAATACTGTGTTAGTTCTTGGAAATGTATCCTGAGCAAAAGTAGGCTCAAGTGCTGATGAATGGATGTGATACGAACTCCTCATGAATTAAATTTGTCTAAAAATATTGGATTTTAATTATTATTTTAATGGACATTATCTTGTTTCATTTTTTTTTTTTTGAAAACTTCAGGTAGCATATCAGGCATTAATTCACAACTACAAAATATTTTGTAGAAGAACTGGAGCTAACTGAGGCATGGACAGATTCAATGAGTATTCACCATATCCTGACACATTTTATAGCAGACCATATCTCTCCTCAACTCCAGATGTTCTGCAGTCGGTTTGTATCTTGCCTGGATAGATTAACGAAACACTGCTTAAATTTTGGATTAAATGATAGAAAACCTCATAAACACATGATAAAGAATATGAAATTACCTGCACATGTTTCTTGTTGCCCAGTAAAAAACTACTGTGCACATTAAAACAATTTAATTGTAGCATTTCAGAAATCAAACATATTCATAGTAACACTCAACCTAAAACTTGTGTAAATCTAATCTACAAATAAAATCATCATTCTGGAAGCAATGCAGCAGATCATCCATTAAAAAAAATAATAAAATGGAGACTGCAAAGTCACATGTTGCAGAAATGCAATCAGAACTCCTCGGATGTCTTGCAAACTCGTCAATCACAGTGATTGTTGAGATAAGGAGACAACCAAGGAGTTCCTATTGACTGGAGTGAGAGATAGTATTCTATACACTTAATTTTTCTAACAATCATATTTACACCAGATGATTTTTTTTAAACATTTCCTTCAATTCTAATGGATTTGTTGCACAAAACCAGAATTTCAACTAATAAATTATTTTAGTTCATTCTCTGGACATCGAGATGTATAGAAGAATATTCTGCATTTCATTTATCATGTTTATATTAGGGATGGCAATTTGTAATCGGTTAACCGGTTACTCGGTCGGAACGATGGTAATCGGTTAGAAAATCTGTAATCGGTTAGTCGGAAAAAAATTAATATATGTGTAAATTTGAATACAATTTCCTGAAAATTCATTTTAAAAAATACAAATAAAATTTTCTGAAATGTTAGCATGTTCACCTATCTATTTAAGCTGATTCGCAGATAATTAAGGCTCTCCAGATTGACATCGCATGGGGGTAATTGGTCACTTTTCGAGTCGTTAATTGCTGTCTAAACACATGTCGTTACCCACCCTTTCCTGTGTTTCTTTAATGATTTTAATTAAACGATCGTTGACTTCTGTGAACTGATCATAATTTGTACCTTACCCCATCTTTCCTTTGCAGTTACCTATCAAATTATATTCTAAAAAAAACATCGTAAGATAAGCGATAATTCAGACTTAATTTTGATTATGGTGACAATGCAGACTGAACTTCCATGACATCTTTTCTGAAAATTTTTTAATGCATCTGCAACCTCATGATGTTTCATGGGTTTCTTAATTTTTTCTTTGCTTTTTTCCTTTTTTTTAGCCCATTAAAGTTGAAATACAATATATGCTATGTAGTATTCTGATCATATATAAATATAAGCATAATATTACTACATGAACATCTTTATAGTCTTACTTATTTGAGGGTAGCTATGTCGAGAATTTTTGATACGATTAACCGACTAATGGGTCGGAACGTCTTGCGGTTAACCGATTGGCAATTCTGTATTCGATTGCCATCCTTAGTTTATATATATATATTTTTGCAACATATTTAATGAACATTAGGATTTGTTTTGAGCAGAGAAGGTACAGAGACTTGAACATGAACCACAGTTTGAGCAGCTTAGGCAGAGGGAGTGTGTTTGGGGAGAGGATCACATTTGGATCACCCAGTTACCCCTCCCCTCTTGACAGAATTCGAGCTGATAGAGCAGATCTCAGATATGCTGCAGAGCTCAATGGGGTGAGAGAATCCTCATTTGAAATAAACCAGTCCTTTCCAAAGATGACAAAAACGGCCAGATGTCTGGACGAAACTATGGCAAAACCAAAGGCCAGGAAACCCAGTTCAAAGGAGAAGTATGAATTAGGTAAAATTACAGGGATCAAAATTACATGTACAATAATTTGATTATATCCAGTTGGTTCTGTTATTATTGCATTTTTGATTAACATTTAGAGCTGGGGATGGACACATAGTCACAAACTTGAATCATACTTCAAGTCTCTCTGAACAAGAAATCAACTTTCTTGAATTCCACAGGTACTGTAAAAGTGGTTATTTACGCGTGGGGGAAATTTACACTACTTACGCGGTAAGCTTAGAACCGCGTAAATTACCCCCGCGCGTATGGTCACAAAATTTCAAACTTCTGGAATAATTATAGATTATTACTTAAACTGTTAAACCGGTTGAACCAGTCGTATATTAATCGTGGTATTGAACGCACGTGAGTAGATAAATACATCACAAACAGCGATGAAAACGTAACTGTTCATTTTTTTAATTGTGCGATGAAAAATGCATCTTCATATTAAATATTTTAAAGCAACGTCATGCAATTAAAGCTTCAAAACATCGATACTCATTTTCATTTCCTTTATATATTCGTGTATGTCTCTCTTAATTTCAAATAATTAGTCCAAAATATTACATAAACTCACAGTCACTACAAACATACCTATTAAATTAATTATCAACACTCGACACGCAGATACAGGTAAGTAGATCCCACTTTGAAGTTTGAGCTTGCGTAAATAATTACAATAAAGCGTACACAAGTTGTTCAGTTGTTCACACTTCAGCGCATTTGACTGTGCACATCGACGTTATATTTACCAATCCAACAGTATAATTTTTATTGATTTGTTTAGTTTGTAATTATTTTTTTTTTCTTATCATTTTCAAAGGGGAACAACTCGATGTTGGTAACGATGGCCGCGTAAATTTTTCTCGGTAATTCGTGCCACCGCGTATATTACAACAACGCGTAATGTTTGATGGTCACAAACGCGTACTTAACAACCAGTGTAAATAACCACTTTTACAGTAGTTTTTTTTTTTTTTTTTTTTTCACATTTTATAATTAGGACCAGTGGTTTAATATGATTATTTCTGTTTTTCAGGCTGTGAATTCAATGATGTAAGCTTCAGTCCAGGTCAGAGCAAGAGTTCCTTTACCTGTGATCTCCACCCCGAGAGACAGAACTGGTCATTTTACAGCTACATAGGAGGGGGTCAGTCAGGGTCGGTCTATCCAACCACCATACATAATCCAAATAAAGCCATCTGTACCATTGACTCATTGTCGTCAGAGGTATCTATAGTGTAATAAGAGACCCAAACATTTTGCTTTATTATACAAACATGTATTAAATATCACATTATTTTGCACAATGTTTTGGTTACTGTAAAAGTTCTTTTTTTCCAAGGGGGTCATAATTCCACAGAATCACAATTTCTGTTCAATCCGCAGGAAATTATGCAGATTTCTTATATAACCACTATATGTCATAAATGTACTTAAAGTACGTTGGGACAAGTTTCCGTGGAAAATTTGTGACTGCGTACAAAGGGATAATAAATACAACAAAGAAAAAAGTACTTCTACAGTATATTAAGAAAACACATACTGAATATTGTGAAAAATATTAGGTTTGGCATTCTGCAATTGAGTAGATTATATTTTTTATGGTGAATGAAAATCAAATTCAAAGAAACCAGCTGTTGCAACAGGCATACTTTGTTGCACATATTTATTTAATTTGTGTTTCTTTTTTTCCAGATTTTGATTGCCAATGACATGGCCTGTGAATTATTTGGGTATGAAACAGAGGAACTTTTGGGCAAAAAGCTTAAAGATTTAATCAAGCTAAAACCCAAGGAGCAGGCCACAATACTGGAATGCCATTTTGATGAAACATCAGGAAATATTGTCAGTCTTGCTGGCAAAGTGGTAAATGTCTGTTTATTAGATATCAGATGCTAAATTAATTAATTGAAAGAAAAAGATTAGATTTTGATTGCCATAACAATCCAAAAAGTGTATAATCTAAGTCAATCTTATCTTGATAAAGAAAATTGTAACCATGGTAACAAGGCTTAATAATTAATTGACTGATTAACCATACATGTATTGCTGATATTTTTGGAAAATAGGTGGATGCTGTTGATAACAATGGACTAGTCATGCCAATATCTGTGTGGGTCAAAAGGTTGGACCAAGAAAAAGAACAGAGAGCATTGGTTGTCATGGAACCAGTTGAGAGAACTGTTGCTATGGTGACATTTAATGATGAGGTATTTCCTAAAGTATTGCATAATAACATGAAGCACATGGCTCAGCGGTTATAGGTGTTTGGTCAATAATCCAAAGGTCGCTGGTTCAAGCCCCACTGTGGGCCCTTGATGTTGTGCAGTGATGATTCTCATCTGATATTCCACTAATTTGAATCCAAGAATCCAATATTTACAAGTACTTTCCGATATTTCAGTACTTTTGCTTTTTGCAGCGACCCGTTTCCATTTTTGTCCAGGTAAAAAAATTGAAGTTGTTTCGTCCATGTTTTTATATAATCTGCATCATCCAGACATTTCCTATATCTCCAAGTAAGGTAAACACAAATGCAGGGATGACTGAGACTTCCTTACAATGACATGGCGGTTCATCCAGCCAGGTCAAGATGTAAAAAATGTTGAACAAACTGTTACACTTCAATTTTTGTCCCTCATTTAAACCTATTTTGGGTTTGCTAAAGCCCATATTTCGTCAGCCCCTCGACTTCCAAACTATTTCAGATATTTTGGCCAATTCACAGAATCATCACTGGTTGTGTGTTGTGTCCTTTGACAAGGCACTTTATCTGCACTGTCTCAGTCCACCAAGCTGTAATGGGTACTGACTTACCACTGCCACTTAACTTGTGATGGACTATTGTCCCATCCAGGGGGGGAGTCGATGACTCTCATCTGCTTAGCACCACAGATACTGGGTATAACTATAAGCACTGATCTTAAGAATAACATGACTTGAAGGAAGATTAAACTTTTACTAGTTGCATAATTAACAACAAACAAAAAGGACCCCAATACAAAGAGAATTCATCGGGAAAGGGGGAAGGGGGTGTCAATCTCCTACCAATAGATTAAAAAAAGCATTTTCTATATATGACTTTCACAGTTACAAAAGTTATTTCCCTTTGCGGGGTCAATCTGGGATCAACCGGTGTAAGGCACTGTTCTCCCTCTATAAAATTACCAACTTTACTGGGCAATGTTTTACAAATAAAATCTCTATGAATATGCTCATTATGATTTTTATGTTGCCCCATACTATGGCAATACAGGTACGAATCAAAATTGTCAGATAGCGTTGAAGGTTGAATATTTACAGGTAAGTTACAAAGGATATAGTGAGAAGAATGAGCGTTACGCCAACAAAGGGAGATAAGTCTTAAGAATGTGAAATTCATCTATTGGTTATTGAATGATAATAAAATGGAATATAATTCTGTAAACAAAGTCCCTCCCGTACTCTAGATTCGTTCTTTATTTGACTTTAATGTAAATACTTGTATTATGTTGAAATAACTTTCTATTCCATCAAACAGGGAAGAATTTTGTCCTGTGACCATCAGATGGCATACTTGTATGGGTATTTTTCACCAGATGACCTGGAAGGCCTCAAAATTAAACAGTTGATTCCTTCCCTAAAATTACCAGCTGCAGGAAAGCCATTAGAAAAGGTATACATTTCTGAAGATCTCTTTTTAATGATTTTTGTGTGTTATCCTGAAAATCTGACTTCAGTTTGCATTTATTATTGAGTTAACAGTTTATCCATAATTGCTCATTCTGTATTGAAGAAAGCTGGAAAATTGTGTAACTAATGCAGCAAACTCTGGGGTTTTTTTTGTTTTTCATTTAACTTCTATTCAACTTTGCAGGAAATAAGAAAACAGAGAGCAACTGGGAGAACAAAGGATGGAGCCTCTTTCCCTCTCAGTCTGTCAATCAAGTTGGCAACAGAGGTGGAAAATTCCAGCTACGCATCTGCAGGTGCTTTTCCATTTACATGTTTTTTTGAAAGTTTGATATACATGTACCATGGTATGTACATGTACACATACCAACTTATAAATAATGATTACAGCATCCAAGGAAATAAATATTGAATTACTTTATAAGTATGGGCCTCAACCAGCAATCTATGGATTGACCGAATGAAAGGGCTATATTTGTTATATTATTTTATTTTGTTTATATTTTTTTATTTTATTATTTACTTTGGAACAAATAGGAGATAAGCAAATTCATTATATTGGAATCGGTAAGTTTTAAATACTTCTAACCATTATAAACACATCTTTGGATTTTCCCTATGTTATTTCTAGTAACTCATCTCAATCTCGTAAAATATAATTTTGCACTTGAAATCAAGCAAATCAATTAGATTTATTGAAATACACAGTAAATAGATATATTTTGATATTGATTAAAAATCATTTTATTACTTTTCTTTCAGGAGGTCTCCATGATGATACCGAAAATATTTATGTCGGTATTTTGTGGGTGTTTTCCAACATTAGTGGCCTTGTTACGTTGCTTCCAGATGGAACTATTAACAGTATCAATGAAAATTTTGCCCTAATGCTGTTTGGGTATTCTAGTGCAGATCTCATAGGGAAGGTACAAATAAAGTATTTAGGAAGTAATATTCATCTTGTAAAGAATAAAAAGAAAATACAATTTTTATAGCAAACATTTTCAGTAATATATGTGTATGCAATGTTTTTACCTTGACAGTTCTTTGTACACAGTGAAATTTGTCTTAATCTGGATGTTATGTACATGTATTCTGAAATCTTGCTTAATACTATGTAAACTTTAAGTCCCTTTCAATAAATTCGATTGTTAAAAATATTGTCTAATCTGGAATGTTGTTAAATCCAGCCAATTTCTATGAAACCAGTGGTGTCCAGATTAAACAAGTTTTACTGTATATGTACAAAGTAGATCTTCACTAGTGATGAAACGATTGTCGCCGACAATCGATTGTCGATCGTTTGGAGCTCTTCGATGCTACTAATCGATTATGAAACAAAAGTCGCCGACATCGCTGACAAAGATATTAAGGGTTAATTCGGGTGTAAACTTCAAATTTTATTACCAAAAAGACATTTGCAGACATTTTAAAAGTTATCCTGAATGTTTAAAACGTAAAAATCTTTTTCACTTCACTTCAACGGTTCAGTTCAACGTTTATTGTTGACAATTTTTACCGCCATGATTGAATGTAAGGTCAGGCTAAAAACAGGAAATGGCCAGCGTGATGGGGTTCTACTATATTAAATCAGAAATACATGAACAGTACAGAAGTTCTATAAACTTATTTATTATTTAACAATTTTATAAGTCCAAATGAAATTAGACAAAGTAATTCCTAGAAAATAAATAATAGAAGGTGTTACTAATATCAGTAATGTTCCCACTTGCATACATGTATTAATTTTTTTAATGAAGCATCGTGCAGAAATTTAACTCTTATTTTCAATTTTACTGAGAGAAAATAAAGAATTAGAATACTTTGTCATTAAACAAATTTATTGAAAAAAATTATTCTGTTTATTTATATATATTACTGATTTTATTTACTTATTAAACTCTGAATAGTAAAGGATACATATGTTGTTTTTGTGATTATACATGTATGCTTTAACACGTTAAGGAATCTCTTATCTTATTTAAAAGGGTAAAAAATCCAATTATAGCCGATTATCAATCGATTATGTGTTTCCGATTACAACCGATTATCGATTATGATTTTTCTCCGATTATTCAACACTAATCTTCACAGAGAATAAATGTTGTTGCAGGATATTTCAATTTTGATTCCTGATTTTTACGACATCTTGGAACTTGAGGAGAACTCGGAGGCTGGCAGTTATCACAGTGAACTGAACAACTCAAACCCTTCACCAGAGAACAGGAAAGGTTTGATTATTTTCACACATCAGTATTATGAATACCTGTAGGAGATACTAAAAAAAAATTATGTTGTTTTAAATCACAATTTTATTGGTGGTATCTACAGATAAACAGAATATTCAGTTCCTATATGTAAGTTTTAAAATCAGTCCCTTACAATTGCAATGTACAGTCAAACCTCATTATATCAAACTTGATGGGACCAAGAAAAAGGTTTGAGATATCCCAGGATTCAAGATATCAAGGGTACAATACTTAAAGAATAAGCGATTGGGACTTCCAAATCACTTCGGTATATCCATGGTGTTCAAGATATCTTTGCTCGAGATACCGAAGGTCAACTGTATGTGCTATTGTAATGGTATTTAAATTACTTCAGTGTTAAATATATTTATATAGATATACAGGAAGTGGACAGTAGTGATGACCAGGGTATAGGGAGCAGTATTACCTCTAACCATTGTCCCCCTGTAATAGACAGTCACCCACTGCTGGGTCCAGGGGTCACCTCCACCCCCAACAGAGCTCAGACTGTTTCATTCTTCAGGTACAGTGATAAAAAGTAAAATGAGAAGTTTTTCCTTGCAAAGAGTTGTGAGGCACATGCAATACATGAATTAGGGGTGAAACGATACGCATCCTTCACAATACGATACATATATAATTTTGTCTCGGTTCGGTTATTTTCGATACGATACGTTTTGATAGAAAACAATTGCATTGTTGTTTTATGTTTTGTTTCACTAAATCCTGTCACTAAATCTATGAACAAATTGACTAGAAGAAATTAATTAGAATGATTTGACTGTTAAAGATAATTTTACAAACTATCAGTCCTCAAAAATTTACATTTAAAAAATTAAATTATGCTGAGTAGCATGTTTTTACTTATACTAAACCTGACTGAATAACGATCCCGACTAAAAAATTGAACCGAACCGAAAATGGAGATTTTGTACTATGTACCAAACCAAAAAAAAAACACCTCGGTGAATCGATACCGCTGTGAACCGTTTCACCCCTAACATGAAAGTGGTTACTTTCAACAGTAGGGTGACCTTAAGTTTCCTTATCAAAGATCAATCCTCTTTCATAGTGAGTAAAGTTAATATTGTAATTATTCCATCTTTTCTTCTAGGAGAGGATCTGATAAAGGATCAGGGAGTGAGATGGAAATCTCCCCATTAGCTGTAGGACTGAAGGAAGATCTGATTGGTAGACTAGAATTGAGTGACAGCGAGGAGGAGGGGCCTTTTGTTGACACGGCAGCCACTCCTGTAATCAGAACAGATGCAAGGTCACCAGAAAACAACCACAGTAATGTATCTAACTCCAGTACTGAGACAGTTCCAACAGCAAGGGAGGTCACCAGAAATGCAGCGGTGATACAGGAAGCAAAAGAGAAAGAAGACTTTTCTCCTCCTAGTAAAATTTCTGAAGATAATGTGGATGGTGAAGAGAAGACAACTTTGGGGGAGGAACTTAACCAAAAAGTGAATCGATCTGGACAGGTGGAAAAGATAGTTGTAAACTGTGTGGAAGATAAAATTTCTGTAGTGTGTAGTTCTAACGATAAAGAATCCGAGCCTCAGGAGCCAGCAACATCAGCACAGGCTCCAGTTAGGAATAAAGAAAGCACTGAAAACTCGTCAGAAATGGCAACTGACTGTGACCATGTTATTGCTGACAGGACAGAATTTCTCCAGACACTTCAAGACACAAGTAAAATTTTGATGGAGATTCAGTCAAGTATTGGAGATAGACAGCCTGTTAATGACCAGAAGTTACACAAAGACAATATTGAAAGAGAAACAAGTAGAGAGGTGCCAAAAATTGTAGAGACAGATGATAAACATCATGAGAAACAAGATCTAAATGTATCAAATTCTACAGTAGAGCTGTTAACTGCTGATGTGGAAGTGTTAGATTTAGGTGATTCAGGTTGTACAGACAGGGATGTTAAGGGAGAAAGGGAATCCACTTTTGGGGACAAATCAGGGACATTAGCAGACATTAGCAGCAGTGTTCATTCTAGTGCTATTTTAAAAGACATTTCCGGGGAGAGTCTCAAGGAAGATTTATCTTTCCCTGCAAGTCATGACTACATTCCAAAGTGCAATACAGAATGTGTTACAGATGATATTACTAGTAGTTCAGTGGAAAATTCTGTTGATTATGTAGAGAATGTACACCATTCACTAGGTCACCAAATTAGGAACAACTCCTGTCATTCCAGTGGCCACAGCACTGACCACCGGCCCACCAGTGAGTCGTCATGTGATCCATTGTCCAGTTACAACCACAGCAGCTTTCTGACCGACAGTGTGAGTTTTCATGAGAGAGATAGTGGGTGCAGTCCAAGGAAACATAAAAGGAGGGACAGAAAAACAAATCCCTCTAATCAACACAGCTCCTACTCCTCAACAAGTCAGTCTATGGCACTCCCAGAGGGTTCATATGCTGGGCAAGGAAAACATAAAGACAGGTCCTATTTAGGTAATATTAGTGATGCACTATCAGTTAGCACTAGGTACAAGTATTACATTAACATTATTAGATTCACAGGGACTTTAATCTTGAGTTGTTTTTTTTATAGATTATTTTGTTGACAGTAAAAAATGATGTCATTAAACGTAATAAAAATGATTGTAATTCATTCATCCATTGGTGTAAACATAATGCAGATATACAAACACATAATCTTTCTTATGCTAAAACACACATATATATGTGTACTTTTTTGTAGGGATAATATTCCAGATTAAGCGTGTAACATTGGAAGATGGGAGTGTCAGATACTGTATGTGGGTGTCCAGAGATCCCGAGGAGCCGGCCGAGGGAGGCAGATCTTTTGCCAATCTTACCCTGGCCACAACTCTCAACAGCACCATGGACCGCTCAGGCAACTTTAGTCTGGGAGATGTAAGAAAATTGAAGTTCCATCTCACACATTTTCACACACAAGCTAGTTGGAAATTAAGAAAATGGGTGAAAGAATTTTTTAAAATAATTTTACTACCTTGTCTAGATTGTAGTGAAATCAGGTCATTTCAAAATATGGTCCATTTTTCATGGATTACATGTACATACAATTGTATAGAAAGTTACCTAATTTACACAGGAATGGACAAAATATTATTTTATTTTAGTTAATTATTAATTTTATTCTATTTTGACGGCAGTCAAGTGTATTGATGCCTATTAAACAATGTTGCGTGAAAACTAGCATGTGTCTAACTGATGAAAGATTGTTTCAAAATAACATAACGATTGTGATTTTGTTGTGAAGTTTATGACTGATTTTATGGTTTATAAATGAAAATGGAAGAAACAATTTTTCAGTTACTGACAGAAAAAGCTTGTTCTGAATCAAAAGTGGAAAATAAGGAGGATGACTTGTCCCCCAGGAGTGTAGAGGAGCAGGTTGAGGAGGATGGACCCTCCCCAGGGAGGGGGCTTTATGACATTAAATATCACACCCTTAATGCAATTGGCAAGGGAGCTTTTGGATTTGTGAAGTTAGCTAGGAGAAAAATTGATGAAGAAGAGGTATTATTGAATACATACAATTAATTAAACCAATAGCTAATAATCATATCCTTGAGAGAGAATTAAATATATTGTATATGTGCATAATGATAGAATTTTAAGAGCATTAGTGTATCACTAAAGTTCTTTAAAAGCTTCATAACGCATGTATATGTATATTGTTTCTGATGGGTTTTTAAGGAGAATATGTTAGATTGTAAAGGTATCTACTGTAAATCACCAAATACTTGCGTCAACTTATTTTTGTGAGAAAGTAGTATTGTAGTTATAAGCAAGACAAAATTGTCTTTATTGTTCTTTCCTACTTTTAAAAGTGAATTATGAACTTTTCATGAGTAAACTGCCTCATTATTACGCAAAAATAAAGTTCTTGCAAATAAGATGATTTACAGTAAAAAAAATCGTTGAGTAATTCAGAAATGTTCATTATACTGTTGAATATCAAGAGGTGACAGATGCCACTTGAATATTAGCACAAAGATGAAAAAGAATTCAAAAATTGTGAAACAAAAGATATATGTATACTATATAAATCTGCACATGCAGTGAGATTTAATGTTTCATTTTATAAACATACATATTGACAATAATATGCTCAGTTGCAGCAGATGCTGTATAATCTCTTGTTTGTGGGGGGACCAGTGTTTCTGGATTTCATTAGTCTCCCTTACCCATAAATTTACACCCCCAAAAAATCACCATTTCAACATATGGTTCATTGAATAGGAGTTCCCACAAAATTACATACCCATCAATGGGTAACATTTTATTGTCCAGGAAAATTGACCCCCACAAATTAAATAATTCTGCAATATACTTTTCCTTTATTTATTACCAGGTTGTGGTGAAGTTTATCAAGAGGAATAAAGTGTTATCAGAATGTTGGACAGTGGACCAGAGAGGCCAAAGGTTACCACTGGAGGTGTCGCTTCTGAAAATGCTGCATCATCCAAACATTGTCAGGGTAATCAGTAAAGATAAATTCTGAGTACAAAACATTTCTGATACTTATTGGCACTGTATTAATGATTTTATTTGATGTCCAGTGCGTACTTTTCAGTGGTCAGTTAAAATTCTTTATTTCTATTTACTGTAGTAAAGTTTCAGTTGAATACTGAATGATTTTCAGGTACTTGAGGTGTTTGAGAATGATGACTTCATCCAGATGGTCATGGAAAAACATGGCAGTGGTATGGACTTGTTCGAGTTCATTGATCGCTCACCACTGTTAGATGAGGCACTTGCCAGCTATATTTTCAGACAGGTAAATTTCTATTCACATATTTTTATGCCCCGCCATGAATATGGCCGGGGCATATAGTGTTTGTCATGTCCGTCTTCCGTCCTTCTGTCCTTCCATCACACTTTGCGTTTAGCTCTGTTCAAAGCTCAGTTTCAAAGAAACTATCCAAGATATTTTTATCAAACTTCATATGCTGATAGATATTGATGAGGGCTATGCAACTGCATCAACATTTTTTGACCTTGACCTTTCCTTTGACCTTGACCTCACTTTTCTTAAATTAGTGTTTAGCTCAGTTTTAAAGATACCATTCAAGATAGTGTTATCAAACTTCATATGTTGATACATACTGATGTAAGCTATTCAATTGCATCAACATTTTTTGGACCTTGACCTTTCTTTTGACCTTGACCTCACTTTTCTTTAATTAATGTTTAGCTCTGTTTTAATGAAACCATTCAAGATATTTTTAACAAACTTCATATGCTGATACATACTGATGAGAGCTATTCAACTGCATCAATATTTTTTACCTTGACCTTTCCTTTGAACTTGACCTCACTTTTCTTAAATAAGTTTTAGCTCAGTTTTAAAGATACCATTCAAGATAGTGTTATCAAACTTCATATGCTGATACATACTGATGAGAGCTATTCAACTGCATCAACATTTTTTGACCGTGACCTTTCCTTTGACCTTGACCTCACTTTTCTTAAATTAGTGTCAAACTTCATATGTTGATACATACTGATGAGAGCTATTCAACTGCATCAATATTTTTTGACCTTGACCTTTCCTTTGACCTTGACCTCACTTTTCTTAAATTAGTGTTTAGCTCAGTTTTAAAGAAACCATTCATAATATTTTCATCAAACTTCATATGCTGATACATACTGATGTAACCTTTTCAACTACATCAACATTTTTTGATCTTGACCTTTCCTTTGATCTTGACCACACTTTTCTTAAATTAGTTTCTGAATCAAACGTCATATGCTGATACATACTGATGTAAGCTATTCAACTGCAGCAATATTTTTTGACCTTGACCTTTCCTTTGACCTTGACCTCACTTTTCTCAATTTGTGTTAAAATGTTGCATTACTAATATACCCTTGGTGGGGCATTCATGTCCTATGGACATATTTCTAGTTTTAAATGCATCTACATTTAGATATTGTACTTTTATTTCTTTCATAGTTAGCAGAGATGATGAAGCTCTGATGAAATGTATAAAAATAATTTTTTAAAGACATTAAGTTCATCATTATTGAACTACTTGTTAGTTTGAAAAACCACTATTTTTCAGATTGTAGATGGAGTAGCCTACTTACATAACCTAAACATTGTCCATCGAGACATCAAGGACGAGAATGTCATTCTTAATGAGGACTTCCGGATAAAGTTGATTGACTTTGGAGCTGCAGCTTACATGGTGCCAGGGAAACTGTTTGGGACATTTTGCGGCACTATGGAATACTGCAGTCCTGAAGTCTTGTTGGGAAATAGGTGTGTGTTAAGAAACTGTAGAAACATCACAGATTGTACATGTTCGAAGTATAAATTGTCATTCAGTGATTAATCAATGCATTTTACTGCAAAATTTTAATGTCAAATGTTGAAATTTTGTTCACTTCTTTGAATTATTGGCTTGCCACTGAAATGCTCTACTACAGATACCAGGGACCAGAGCTAGAAATGTGGTCAATAGGAGTTACTCTATACACACTGGTCTATGGAGAAAACCCATTCTTTGATGTAGAAGAGACCATAAAAGGAAAACTTAAACCTCCATTCCAGGTTTCAAGAGGTAAATTGTTAATTCAAGCATCTTTTCTTTTATATTTTATACAACTGAAAATATTAGAAAATAAAGAGGCCCCTATTCCCTCATATAAAACTTTGCTGTGATGCTAATGAGTTTTCAAAAGAAATCTACTGTAGAATTAAAATGCACACAATTGCAGTAAACCTTGCAAAGCAAAAGTTGACAAAAAAAAACTTTCTACTTGACAATTTTATAAAAGAATAATAGTTGTTAATTATTTCATTAAGAGTTATCTCTCTTATTAGAGGGTCAGTGAACCTTAAGATTGATCACTGATTTATTTATGTTACAGCTCTAACACATCTACTCTCTGGACTCCTAAACCCCAGTCCAGCCAAGCGATTAACCATAAAGGATTGTCAGAGAGACATATGGACTAATCAACCAGTTGATCCTACACAGTACTCCTGGCAGGAAGTTCTGCCGAACTGCGGTGAGTACAGTAAAATATGCTTATAGAGAAGTGCCAGGGAAGATCAATTTTGTATCTTTATACATGTAGATATAATTCATTATATCTGAAAAGGTTTAATACCTTACAGGGAATAAAACTTAGTAACTTTGATGTAAATGTCACTTCATTATAAGCGTGTTTGCGGTAAATGTGTTTTACTAGTAACAAAAAATACAGGGGAAGAGCAAACCCCTACGTAAAATTGTAAATCTGCATTTTCATTCTGCTGTATGTCAAAGTGGATGTAATTCAATATTTGTTGATATTCCTTTTTGTAGAATTTCATGGAAACACTGCCTCGGACAACAGAATGGATTCTCCAGAGTCCAAGCAGAACTCGAAGGTAGCTGCCCCGAGCCACACAGACAGATATATTGACAAAGTGTATAGGGATGAGGACTATGTTCAAACTGTCCCTCCCTTCTCCCCTCCAAGTTATCAGACACATACCCTGAACTCTAAATATAGCTCCATTGTAGATGTTTAGCAGTGACTAAATGTGTAAATGTCAGTTGGAGGGAAAAGTGCTTCCTCTTTCAGTTTTCCATTATGGCTGTTGGGGAAAAAAGTATTAATTGTGTACATGGTAGTAGAGATTAAAAAACAGGAGCTTAACATTAATTTGATGATTAATCAAAATACTTCAAAGTTTACAGTTATACATGTATATGTTGTGTTTCGTCATTTATGATGTATATTGTGCCACATTTTACTTGTATTTATCCTGGTGCTGTTTATTTTCCCCTGTAGCAGTTTATTTTTTTTTTAAAGGTTGGATTGAATTTTAGTCTTATAGTTTACATTAAAGTTGTGTGAATATTATAGGTGTAAGAACATAGCAATATAAATCTATGCAATATGTCTACAATTTTTTTTAAACTTTGTTGTTGTTGACATTGCATGTTCTACTTGCATTGTCATTTGTGCCATGGTTGAAATTGTACTTTAGGATTACAACGGTTTCTTCAAAAACATGGACAATAATTTTAAAATGTATCACATCCTAATTGTTTTCGGTTTATTGTAGTACAATAGAAACTTATATTCATTTTGTTTGGTTTTATTGTTTTGAAAAGAGGTAGTTCTCATCTATGAAATTTGACTTCCAAAACTTTATATCTCAGTGAAAATATTAATTGTGAAGATAATAAATCAATGTCATATGATATATACTAATTTGATTGGTTGTACAGTCTGTGTATAGTATATATCAAGTTTGTTCATATAATCATGTTGAATGTAACTAGTCTATGTAAAGTATATTTGTGTAACAGATATCAAATTTTGCTCTGCCCACTCATAACGCAATACATGTATAATCAAGTTAAATTTTATATGAGATTCAGTTATTTTATATAACTGCCCTTATTAAATGTTTTTATTCTCACTAAATCAATTGTCTTCTTCATTCATTCTTGAAAAAAAAATGTATAATTTTATATATATTTCAAAAATATATGTCAGAAAAAGAAGTGTGAACCACAAGAATTAAAATTTTTGATTATGAGTTTGGACCTTGACTTAAGCTCAGTGTCATTGGGATTGTAAAATCAGACATTTTTCATTAGGGGATCAACATTTTATGTTGAATTGTCTTTAACATCGGGCTCGATATTCAACAATTTTTTGACGTAAATACAAACATGAACTTGTCCCGAAACTTGAGAATCTTTTACCAAAATAAAGGATATCAACTAATTTCTCCAAGAACAGGTGAGTTTTTTGTGAATAAATAATGGACTATGAGTAATATTATGAGGTAGGACAGAGGTGACACCCTAGATCATGACGAAACCGATGGGTACAAAAGCTGGTGCATACAGCAGGTCCAGCACAATCTCTTGATTTAGCTATATAGCTTGAAATAGCTATAAAGCTTTATTAAGTTATTCAGAATAGCTTGATAAAGCTATTTATATACAGTTTTTCACAAAAATGTTTTTTGTAAGAAATAGACAAAAAGTCGCAAGTATTTGACTATTCATATATGTACTATGGGCTTTCAAAACAACAACCGAAATCAAAGATAGTTCTAACATTGCAGCATTTGAATACTTTTAAGCAAAAGATGTATTTCCATTGTTTGAGTAACTGTACACTACCAATCAATTATCTTGTTGACCATAATTGGCCTCCTTTATAATTTCATTGCAGAAGTAACTGTTTCATTTGCTTTATATAGCCTCAAAACATTTAGAACTTTGAGTACAAAGTCCTTTAAGAAGACACAATTTGATGAGTGATTTTTACATGCATTATTTTCAGAGGAGTTCAAGGTTGAATATTATCACTGCACCAAGGTGCGACTTTTTGTGGATGCTGAGAAAATAACACATTTAAGAAAAAAGTGTGATAAAATAGCTAAATCAAGCTATTCTGAATAGCTTAATAAAGCTATATAGCTAAATCAAGCTATATAGCTAAATCAAGAGATTGTGCCGGACCTGTACAGTACGTGCATATACCCTTGTATACTGTATAAGGTCCAAGTTTTAACATTTTTTTTAAATATACTTGTTCAACTGCTTTGATGAATGCTGCATTTAAGAGTTATTCTTTTCTTGTAAATGATATGTAGTCAGTTCAGCATCCAGTCCAGTTGTTGTGGAGAATATTGGCACAATATCACTGATTGGCATTAATCGCCCAGAGAGGCGGAATGCTGTGGATCCACCCACTGCTGAGGTTCTGTATAAAGCCTTCAAAGACTTCGAACAAGACAGAAACAGATCGGTAGCAATACTTTATGGAAAAGGTGAGGGCCTAGATTAGTTTATCTCTTTGTTGTACTTGGTGTGTCTTAAAAAAAGTGAAGATTTCAATTTTTACCCAAAATTCATCCATGCATGGGCTGTTAATGTGCAAGTGCAACTAAAGTTAAAAAAAAATAAGGTAATTATATTTTCACAGATTTATTTTATAGAATTTAAGGCCTTTTTTTTAAAAAAAAAAAAAAATCAAATATTTGGTCATGTAGATTGTCAATTTTAGTCCAAAAAATTGTCATTCAATTTAAGAAAAAAATCAAAATTTGGTCATGTAGATTGTCAATTTAAGTAAAACAAGAGGCCCAAGGGCCTTAACGGTCACCTGAGTATAGTACAACAATTTAGAAATTAAATACACTGATAGATGAAGCATTGTTGCCCTAAAGCAAGAGAAGTAGGAAGATCAGGATCAACAAAATAATTAGTCTGGTATTCAGTATCAACTCATAAACTAGTATTAATTGTAACGGGGACCGTTACAGATGTTCCCCAAACGCTCCCCAACTTCCTTTTGGTGTCTTATTCCCTGTAAGCTTCATTAAATAAGGCAATCAAGTATACTGGGTTTTTTTACGCATTTCTCGCGCGCGCACGGGCATGCATGTACAAAATGACCATGTCAACTTGTCTATACTTTTAATACATCTTTATATTTAAATTTCATCAAAAGATTAAAAAAAATTGGCTATATTAAGTATATCTGTCATTTTACGCATTGCAAGCGCGCGCACTTGCATGCATGTTCATGATGACTGGTTCATCTTGTCAACACTATTAATATATCTACATATTTTGAGTATCAAAGCATTTCATCAAAAAGTATAAAAGTTACAGCTATATCAAGTATATTGGTCAATTTAGCATTGCATGCGCGCGCACGTGCATGCAAGTGCATATTGACAATATCATCTTGTCTACATTTATAATATGACTATAATATCTGAGTATCAAAGCATTACATCAAAAAATGTAAAAGTTATGGTTATATCAAGTATATTGGTAATTTTACTCATTGCACGCGTACGCACGTGCATGCATGTGTGCGCTGACCATGTCATCTTGTGTACACTTCTAATATATATTTATATTCTGAGCTTCAAAGCAATTCATCAAAAAATGTACAAGTAAAGTCTATATAATTTGTGTTGGTTATTTCAATCATTGCGCATGCGCACACGTGCATGCATGTGCATTCTGACCATGTCATCTTGTCTACACTTTTAATATATCCTGACATCCTGAGTATCAAAGCATTTCATCAAAAGATATGAAAGTTATGGCTATATCAGGTATATTTGTCCTTTTACCCATTGCACGCGCGCGCACGTGAACACACGTGCATGCATGTGTGCGCTGATCAAGTCTTCTTGTCTTCACTTCTAATATATATTTATATTCTGAGTTTCAAAGCAATTCATCAAAAAATGTACAAGTTAAGTCTATATCAATTGTATTGGTTATTTCAATCAATGCGTATGTGCGCACGTGCATGCATGTGCATTCTGACCATGTCATCTTGTCTACACTATTAATATATCCTTATATTCTGAGTTTCAAAGCATTTCATCAAAAAATATAAAAGTTACAGCTATATCAAGTATATTGGTCATTTTACGCATTGCACGCGCACGCACGTGCATGCACGTGCGCGCAAAATGACCTTCGTTCCGCAAATCTACATAACATTCCTAGTAACCCTAAAAAGGTTTCACCTCAATCGGATGTGTAGTTTCGGAGATCACTCACGGACAAAAAAGTACCCAGGAAGAAAAATAATAATAACTAGATCCGATCTCGTTGCGAGCAACGAGTGGGTCTTCCGTCCGATTTCGATGAGATGTTATTTTGATTGTTGAAACAAGGACTATCTCTGTATTTTGAAAGATTGAGAACATCAAACAATGTGTTTTGAAATCACTGAAAGGTCAAATAGAGTGAAATTTAAACGATTTAAATTTTTCAAAAAATTTAAATTGAATTCAAATCTTAAAACAAAGATCATCTCTGTATTTTGAAAGACAGAGAACATCATGGAATGCGTTTTGAAATCACTCAAAGGTCAAATAGAGTGAGAGTTAAACGATTTAAATTTTTCAAAAAAATTAAATTAAATCAAATGTTAAAACAAGGACTATTTCTGTATTTTGGGAGATGGAGAACATAATATAATGTGTTTTGAAATCTTTCAAAGGTCAAATAGAGTGAAATTTAAACGATTTAAATTTTTCAAAAAATTTAAATTGCTTCCAAATATAAAAACAAGGACTATCTCTGTATTTTGAAAGACAGAGAACATCATGGAATGCGTTTTGAAATCACTCAAAGGTCAAATAGAGTGAGATTTAAACGATTTAAATTTTTCAAAAAAATTAAATTAAATCAAATGTTAAAACAAGGACTATTTCTGTATTTTGGGAGATGGAGAACATAATATAATGTGTTTTGAAATCTTTCAAAGGTCAAATAGAGTGAAATTTAAACGATTTAAATTTTTCAAAAAATTTAAATTGAATCCAAATATAAAAACAAGGACTATCTCTGTATTTTGAAAGATGGAGAACATCATACAATGTGTTTTGAAAGCACTCAAAGGTCAAATAGGGTGAGATTTAAACGATTTAAATTTTTCAAAAAATTAAATTGAATCCAAATGGTAAAATCAAGGACTATTTTTACATTTTGAAAGATGGAGAACATCATACAATGAGGTTTGTAATCTCTCAAAGGTCAAATAGAGTGGAATTTAAACGATTTAAATTTTTCAAAAAATTTAAATTGAATCCAAATGTTAAAAAAGGACTATCTCTGTATTTTGAAAGATGGAGAACATCATACAATGTGGTTAGAAATCTCTCAAAGGTCAAATAGAGTGGATTTTAAACGATTTAAATTTTTCAAAAAATTTAAATTGAATCCAAATGTTATAAAAAGACTATTTCTGTATTTTGAAAGATGAAGAACATCATACAATGTGGTTTGAAATCTCTCAAAGGTCAAATAGCGTGAGATTTAAAGGATTTAAATTTTTCAAAAAATTTAAATTGCTTCCAAATGTTAAAACAAGGACTATCTCTGTATTTTGAAAGATGGAGAACATCATACAATGTAATTAGAAGTCTTTTAAAGGTCAAATAGAGTGGGATTTAAACGATTTAAATTTTTCAAAAAATTTAAATTGAATTCAAATCTTAAAACATAGACCATCTCTGTATTTTGAAGGACAGAGAACATCATAGAATGTGTTTTGAAATTACTGAAAGGTCAAATAGAGTGAGATTTAAACGATTTAAATTTTTCAAAAAGTTTAAATTAAATCCAAATGTTAAAACAAGGACTATCTCTGTATGTTGGAAGATGGAGAACATCATACAATGTGTTTTGAAACCTCTCAAAGGTTAAATAGAGTAAAATTTAAACGATTTAAATTTTTCAAAAAATTTAAATTAAATCCAAATGTTAAAACAAGGACTATCTCTGTATTTTGGAAGATGGAGAACATCATACAATGTGTTTTGAAATCACTCAAAGGTCAAATAGAGTGAGATTTAAACGATTTAAATTTTTCAAAAAATTTAAATTAAATCCAAATGTTAAAACAAGGACTATCTCTGTATTTTGAAAGATGGAGAACATCATACAATGTGTTTTGAAACCTCTCAAAGGTTAAATAGAATGAAATTTAAACGATTTAAATTTTTCTAAAAGTTTAAATTAAATCCAAATGTTAAAACAAGGACTATCTCTGTATTTTGGAAGATGGAGAACATCATACAATGTGTTTTGAAATCACTCAAAGGTCAAATAGAGTGAGATTTCAACGATTTATATTTTTCAAAAAATTTAAATTAAATCCAAATGTTAAAACAATGACTATCTCTGTATTTTGAAAGACGGAGAACATCATACAATGTGTTTTGAAACCTCTCAAAGGTTAAATAGAGTGAAATTTAAACGATTTAAATTTTTCAAAAAGTTTAAATTAAATCCAAATGTTAAAACAAGGACTATCTCTGTATTTTGGAAGATGGAGAACATCATATAATTTGTTTTGAAATCGTTCAAAGGTCAAATAGAGTAAAATTTAAACGATTAAAATTTTTCAAAAAATTTAAATTGAAACCAACCATTAAAACAAGGACTATCTCTGTATTTTGAAAGATGGAGAACATCATAAAATGTGTTTTGAAATCACTCAAAGGTTAAATAGAGTGAGATTTAAAGGATTTAAATTTTTAAAAAAATTTGAATTAAATCCAAATGTTAAAACAAGGACTATCTCTGTATTTTGGAAGATGGAGAACATCATACAATGTGTTCTGAAATCTTTCAAAGGTCAAATAGAGTGAAATTTAAACGATTTAAAATTTTCAAAAAATTTAAATTGAAACCAACCATTAAAGCAAGGACTATCTCTGTATTTTGAAAGATGGAGAACATCTTACAATATGTTTTGAAATCTCTCAAAGGTCAAATAGAGTGAGACTTAAAGGATTTAAATTTTTCAAAAAATTTAAATTGCTTCCAAATGTTAAAACAAGGACTATTTCTGTATTTTGAAAGACGGAGAATATCATACAATGTGTTTTGAAATCTTTCAAAGGTCAAATAGAGTGAGATTCAAACAATTTAAAATTTTCAAAAAATTCAATTTGTTTCCAAATGTAAAAACAAGGACTATCTCTGTATTTTGAAAGACGGAGAACATCATACAATGTGTTTTGAAATCACTCAAAGGTCAAATAGAGTGAGATTTAAACGATTTAAATTTTTCAAAAAATTTAAATTAAATCCAAATGTTAAAACAAGGACTATCTCTGTATTTTGAAAGATGGAGAATATCATACAATGTGTTTTGAAATCTTTCAAAGTTCAAATAGAGTGAGATTCAAACAATTTAACATTTTCAAAAAATTCAATTTGTTTCCAAATGTAAAAACAAGGACTATCTCTGTATTTTGAAAGACGGAGAACATCATACAATGTGTTT